GACAGTCAGTCCTCAGGTCACTATTCATGTTCCTGAGCTACTCTTGACAACCTAATCTACAATGGAAAGAGATTAATAAAGAAATAACACCTTCATTCAGGAGGTTACATACCATAGCCCTGAGGTTTAACTCTGTAGAATGCTTTCCCAAATGATAAAAATACCTTTCTTTGTGTCCAAATTTAAAATAGAGATTACACAATGGTAGCAATTTGTGACAGAGATGAATTCTTGTGTCATAATTTGCTACATTGGGACCAAAGGATGGGGAAAGAGGGTGGCAAGCAGCAAATTGTGACAGGTGCACCCCTATTAATCACAATTTGTTACCCCTGGACCAGAGGATGGGGAAAGGTGGGGGTAGCAAACTGTGACAGGCATACCTCTCTCTGTCATAACTTGTGACCTCTGCAGGGGTGAAAGTAACTGAGGACACTTACCGGTATGGGGGAGAGGCTCTGGCCCCCAAAAGGGGTGGGGCCTTGGGCAGAAGGGGCAGGGCTGGGGGTCAGCATCCCCCAGCCAGCCTTTGGCCTGCGCCTCCCAGGGCTCCCGTGTTGATTTAAAGGGCCTGGAGCTCCGGGGCGCACCAATATTAAAGCGCTGCCGCGGCAAAGGACCGTCCTTAAAGCGCTGCCGCGGCAGCGCTTTAATGTCCCTGCCCCTTTTGCCTCCCCTGTCGGCGGCTCTGCTGGTACAGACCCTACTGGCAGGGCTGCCAACAGGGGGAAGGGGCAGCAATGTTAAGGACGGTCCTTTGCCACGGCAGCGCTTTGAGGATCCTTAAAGCAGTGCCGCAGCAAAGGATTGTCCTTAAAGCTTTAACGTTGTTGCCTCTTCTCCTCCCCCCTCCTCCCCCCATTGGCGGCCCTGCCGGTACCAACCCTACCAGCAGGGCTCCCAACAGGGGAGGCAAAAGGGGCAGGGACATTAAAGTGCTTCCACAGCAGCGCTTTAATGTGGGCTGGGTATGGGTCGGTGCGGGTTCTTACCAGCCTGTACTGGCTCACTTTCACCCCTGGACCTCTGGACCAGGAATTGGGAAAGATAAAGGATAGGGAAAGGTTAGGGTAGCGAATCGTGATGAAATCTTGCCATCCATCAGAATTTGCTACCCCTCTCCTGAAGATGAGGAAAGGCTGAGGTAGGAAAACAGTGACAGGTGTGTCCCTATCCATCACAATTTGTTACCCCTGCAGCAGGAATGGAGAAAGGTAAAAGAACCAAACTATGATTAGCATATGCGGATTCATCACAACTAGCTACATCTGAATCTCCTTCTGTGGCCCCTCACCTGCCCCTCCTCTTCCCCCTGAAGCCCTGCCCCCTGATGAAGCTGGAAGCTGGAGTTGGGCCAGGCAGCCTATGTCCCATATCCAGGGCAAGTGCAAGGCAATGGTAAGAGCCACCCGGGCAGCTGTTGGGAGCCATGGACCCTCCATCTGCCCTGGACAGGAGGCCCGGGGGGCAGGGACATTGGCCAGGGGCTGCTCTCGGCCCCCCCCCCGCCGGGGAGGTGGAGGATCTGTGGCTCCCCACAGCTGCCTGGGCTCCCTGGGCCTCTCTTACCCAGGAAGGGCTCCAGCTTCTGGCCTGGTCATGGGGCAGGGCCTCAGCGGAAAGATATGGGGTAGGAGAAAGAGATGGGTCCATGGAGGAAAGTGGACAGGACAGGCCCGTTCACTTTCAAAAGTGGGAGGGCCATGGCCCTTTGGCCCCTCTGTTCTGGTGCCCCTGAAGGGGATGGGCAAAGATAGAGGTAGCAAATTGTGACAGGCATATCCCGTATCCATGAACAATTTCTACCCCTAGATGAGGAGATAGGGAAAGGTAGAGGATGGGGAAAGGTGAGAGGTAGAAAATTGTGTTGGGAATGTCCCCATCCATCAGAATTTACCAGCCCTGGACCAAAGGATGGAGAAAGGCACAGGTGGAACCATGGGAAAACTATGACAGATGAACCCCATCCATCACAGTTTGTTACCCCTGGACCAGAAAGTGGGGAAAGGTGAGAGGTACCAAATTGTGGTGGGAATGCCTCCATCCATCACAACTTACTGCCCTGGGACTGTGGGATGGGGAAAGGCAGAAGCAGCAAATTTTGACAGGGCAGCAAAAGGGGGAATACACAGATGTTAATAACTGCTACCAGTAGCAAACCCTGCAGGCAATGTTACACTGGCAGGGTGAGGAGCAGCAGGTAGCCCTGCAGGGGAAAGGGAGGAGAACTGGAAGGTTTTTTCCTACAGCCCAGTGATGGGTTAATTTGACTACAAATAACACTGCTCTACAACCAAAATGCTTCTGAAATAAATGTAGTCAAACTTTACTAATTCTTGCATAATGACAGGTTTCAGAGTAGCAGCTGTGTTAGTCTGTATCCGCAAAAAGAAGAACAGGAGTACTTGTGGCACCTTAGAGACTAACAAATTTATTAGAGCATAAGCTTTCGTGGACTACAGCCCACTTCTTCGGATGCATATAAAATGGGATTGTTCATTCTTTATGCATCCGGAGAAGGGGGATGTAGTCCCCGGAAGACTATGGT